TCTTTTTAATTCAACTCGTTTGTCGATCGTCGCGCGGAAAAATCTATTCAAATTTCTTGCTTTTTTAATTTCCTATTTCCTTTTTTTTTTCCTCTTTGTTAATTTAACTTCGGTATCGTTTATTGTAATTAAAGACGAAGAAATATCTTTGAGATATTTCGTTTTAACTTAATCTTTCGATAATCAAATAACGAATCGCGAAAGACGTTCTTGGCTTTTTCTCCTCCCTCCCTTTTTTCTAAATTCTTTACAATCTTATTAAAAATATATCTCCCGTATCTCTTTCATTCTAATCCTCCCCTCCTTGCGACGATTGCCTCTTTAAAGAAAAGTTAATAAGGAGAAGCTAAAGTAGGCAATTATAAAGTCCGTGAGAGAAATTGATCGGAGATCGATCGAGATTTAGAGGCATCGAGGACAGAAGGTGGCCCATCTTTAACAAGATCCCTTCGTTTGCGTAATTAACTATCGACTTTCTGTCGACAATCTTGTTAACGAGAAGCACACCGATCGTTAATGGATTCCGGCGGAGTCGAGGCGGGCGTGCAACCAGAGACAGTGAAATAATTACACTTTTGCTTCCGGAATATTCGAGCGTCCCACGTCGAAAAATATGAATAAACGAATTTCGAAATCGAACCGACTCGAGCGAGAGAAGATTGCCCATACCCCCCGAAAATCTCTGTCTCTGTCAGTCAAAGAACCCGTCTCAATTAAAATCCACGAGGATGAGGTAAGGAAAGGGCGCTCTATTATCAACCGAATCCGCGCCAAGGGAAATTTCGACCGGTTTCCTTAAAAATATTATATTCGACACGATGACCCAGATCCAGATCTCACCAGATCTCCACCTATAGAAACCATCCGTTCCTGAATAGTTCGGACGAAATTAGCGAACAAACGCGGTCCACCGACTCACGACCTGAATTTATTTAAAAGGAAGGGAACACTCGATCGTCCCCCTTCGGATGATGGCGTTGAAATTTCAGAGTAAATCTCCGAGGCGAAATCTATCGTTCGATCGAAGGGAAGGTACAGGAAGGTATAGGAAACCAGGCGTCGGTTCCATCGTTCACTTTCCAATTTAAACCCTGGCCCGATATATCGACGCGTCCTTGACCGATGTTCCGAAAATAAAGCGACCCAACAACCGTGATTCGTGTTGAAAAAGTGGTGCGCGATCGGGTGTCCACCGATAAAACCGAAAACAGCCATAAATATGCCGGGATAATATAAAACGTTTCACGCCGCGGCCAAACATCGTGTCAACTCGTTTTCGAATCGGTTAACGAGCACGTCCTGCTGTCGATGCTCGCGCAAATACGAATCAATTTCCGGCGTGGACGCGCCACCCGTCACTGCCTTTGCGGCTGTCGTTCGGCAAACATCAATTAATCCCGTGTTTTCTTTTCGAGGGCACGGTTCAGTGGAGTTGGGAACGAATTCGACAGGAAATGTTATATATGCGATTCGAATCGACGGATCGTGGAAAGTTCAACGACACCTTTGGTTAAGTTCGGGTTGGAATGGTTGGAAGTTGGAACTTGGAGTGATTTGGGATGCCGTGTTGAAAAAAAAAACGTTGGAAAATTTTGGACATATTTTTCTTTCTTTCTTCCTTTCTTTCTTTTTCTCACTCGTCAGTGGCGTCAAGGGTACAAAGTAGAGAATAATGAAATTCTGAATATCTCGCGTTAAATGAAGAAGGATCG